ATACAGAATAAGGTATTGATATGTGCTTTTATAAGTACTAATAAACAGCCAATATCCTAGTAAAATGCATGCTAATAAGCAACTAGTTAATAGTGAGAATTGGACCCTAAACTAGTGTTACCAGACATTCTATCACTGAACTTTACACCATAGCAATCCATTTTTTTATGTAATTTTGTCAATCTGCCCGTGATTCTATACTGTCTGCAAGATATTTATTCATTTTGGTCTAAATATGACCATTTCCAAATGAGAAAGGAACCCATTTCATTGAATAACCCTGCTAGATTTGCTCAAAATTTAAACAATTTAAAGGCCAAATCAGTAGTTGAACATTATTAGTTGCTCATCTATACTTTCGATATCATTTCAAGATATTCAGTTCCACGTACGCATAATAGTATATTTGGGTTACACATATGAACTCTAGCAGTGTTGGGTATACTACATGACTAAGTAATTAATTACTGTAATTTAATTACTTTTCCCTCGAAAAAGTAAAGTAAGGGATTACTCTTCTGTAATTTATTTACAGTTTCTTATGATGTAATTGCTTAAAATACTCTATAGACTATAGAACAATTCTATATAAAACAATAGTAGATTTACGATCAAAATATAAATTAACGTTAAAATGTATGTTTTTAATGTAACCCTTTTCCTTTAAATTCTTTGGTCAGTTCAAGAATAATTTATGCAATTTTATATGATTTCTTTGAAAGAATTAAAAGAGCAGTTTCATGTCCATCCTTGCGTTGTTCAACTGGTCTATTCAACTGCACTATTTTGCTTCTATAAAACTGTTCATTTAAAACATGAATACATTTTAAATGGAAAAATGAAAAGAAAGATCCAAGAAGCGTGTTTTGAGCTTTTCGGTTGGTGAAATTTGTAGATAAAACAAAATTTCTGTTTAGCAACTAAACTAGAATAAAAAAATCATTAATTTATACGGCATCGTAAATACAGATATAGTCCAGGTAACTGATTGTGACATTGTAAGCTGACTGCTAAGTAGCTAGCTGTATATCAGATGACTATGTCTGCCGTCATGTCAACCAGGAAACAGAAAAATAAACACTGACTCTCCTGAAGTTACAATTGAACATTGACTTAATTAAATTTGAAAGTCATAAACTTTTACAGCAGTGAATTAGGATCCATTATAACTACGTTTTATCCATTAAGTTTTATATCTTGAATGCACATATCTAGAGATTAACAATGTAAAAAATCCAAACGTTTTTGCCACCTCATTGATAAGTACATTAAGAAAATTTTAAATGTTCTGAATATTGGACAATGAAACTGAAACATTGGCTAATATGGTGTTGGAGGTTTCACACCTATATGCGCAGCCAGGTGGCCAATATTCCTTCAGTAAGAGCAGAGTGTGAAGGTTGAATTAGCAGACCAATAGCACAGCTGTACATACGATATTGCAATCCACACAACATAATGGGCAACATATCAGAGTTCAAAAAAGGGAAAAATTGTTGGTGCACGTCTAACTGGCTCATCTGTGACCAGGACAGCAAGTAATGTCGGCATACCACCACAAAGGATGAACCCCATCCAACGGGAGTAACTGTCAATGCAAGAGGAAGCTGTCTAAAAAGGATGTCCATGTACTAAACCCGATTGAATGCAAAAAACATAAAACCACAGCTGTCCAACTAACTGCAGAATTAAATGCGCACCTCAACTCTCCTGTTTCCGCCAAAACTGCTCATCGGGAGCTCCACAGAGTCAATATTCATGGTCGGGCTGCTATTGCCAAACCTTTGGTCACTTGTGCCAATGCCAAATGTTGGGCTGTGGCCAATGTGAAACACGAACTGTTCTCTGATGAGTCTACCTTCACCTTCACTTCAGGAGTTACAGCGTGAAGAAGCCTCATAGAGTCTTAACACCCGGATGGTTGCGTGCCCAGAGTGAAGCATGGGGTGGATCAGTGATAGTTTGGGCTGACTGAGCTTGATGGGAGCATCAAGTAATGACCAAGGACTACTGAACCATTCTGGAGGACCATATGCACCTAATGGTTCAAACACCGTATCCTGAAGGGAGTGCTGTGTATCAGCATGATAATGCACAAATACACACAGCAAGACTTGTGACAGAATGGTTTGATGAACATGAAAGTGAAGTTGAACATCTCCCATGGCCTGCACAGTCACCAGATTTCCATATTTTTGAGCCACTTTGGGGAATTTTGGAGGAGCAAGTCCTCTACCAGCATCACATAGCCACTGGCCACTGTTCTCGAATAAGAATGGCTCAATACCCTCTGGCCACTATGAAGGACTTGTATCTGTCATTCCTAAGATGAATTGATGCAGCATTGACCTCAAAAGGAGGCCCTACACCAGAGCTTTTCAATTGACGGCCCGCGGGCCAGGTGTGGCCTGCCAATCATCCCCATCCCCAATCTCCCTCCTCCTCTTATCCTGGCGGTGCGGCTAAATTGGTTTAGATATGCACGTGGCCGCATTGGCGCCTGCAGCTGTATGGATATACGCACTGTGTGTACCATGAGTGCTCAGACTGACCTGAGAAACGTTTTCAGTTTCACGAGTTTACTTTGAACTTCGTAGCACGGCCCAGTGGATAACGGAACGCAAGCTTAAAGGAGTTGTGTTTACTCCCGGTCCCGGGCACTATTATTAAACAGCGTTGAGACATCTTGTGAGAAGCTGTTCAATTCGACACACCTCTCTGTTACAAACCAGAAATCACTTGATGATTAAACTATTTTTAAATCGGATGAAACAGCCTCAACATTCCCAACACGACTGATGAGGAAAATGGCAGAAACATTGTGCCATGAACGAAGTTAGAAGACTTTAAATCCCCTAATCACCACCCTTACAAACATTGACCATGAATGTACTGTAGTAATTTACCATGGTTTGGGCAGAAATGTGGAATATTTATATTGAATACTATGTTATAGTAATTTATATTGCATTAGATTTGGGTTTTATTGTCCCACAATTGTCCCTGCGACAAATTTATTTTGTTGTATGTTTTTTTTCTTACACAAAAAACACAAGCCATTGGGTCACTCGCAGCATCACATACAAGCTTGGAAAAACTGCACCTGTTTTATAAACACAGCGACACATCGTGATTGTGTTCATAATATATTTGTTTCGGTGGCTCAATGTGACGAGTATTCCTTATGTGTGCCTCACATGGAAGGATTACACACACACCCGCCAAATGAATTGATTAATTGCATAAGTTCATTAATTGATATTGAACACATTATAAATGACTACTGCCTGATTTTCCACATGCACACGTAATTCATCCCTCTTCATTACACACACACAGACTGAGCACTGCCACAGCTCTCACAACCTTTCACGCTCTTCAGAAATTACAAACCGTATATGCAGTGGTTTTGTCTGTGTGTGCATGTGTTTTTTTACTGTCTGACCTCTTGCACAGCAGTTTGCATTGATTATTGAGCTCGACCCCCATGCCGGACCAACAGTTTCTCTATTTTTGGAATGATCTGTCTGCTCCGTCAAACGGACATGCATGCATTCATAAAGACGCTGTTATCTGTCATACTGCCCTTCTACCTGATTGCACACGAACATGCACAGACATTCACCCATGCCAATAACAGTCTGATAGGTTATTTTACGTGACCTTTATTGTGTAACGTGAGCACACGCACACACTTGCATGCAGTCGCACACCCTTTCCCAGCCGAATCGATGTTAAAAGCTTTGTGCCGCTGGGATGACCGGTCAACAGCTGGAGAGGTCATTCTGCAAGGTCGCCAGACTCATCACTTAACGAAAACATGTTTACATCATCTGTGAAGATCTTATAGATAGGTTACAAAAATCTGAAACCATGTAGAAAATCTAAGATTTAAAATCTAACTTAAAGTCACCATGAAATCAAAATTAGGCAAGGCAAGGCAAGTTTATATAGCACATTTCATACACTATGGTTATTCAAAGTACACTTTGAAAAATAATTACGCTTCAAAAAAATGTATGTTAGCCTTACTGTTATAAGCTAGTGTCTCCAAAACAATGACACAAATCGTATTTAGAAGATATAAGCATTCAAAACGTATCTCTAATATAAATCATTTTATATATAATTTTAGTATTGCTGTCTCACATAGCCATACTTTTGTCTCTTTGTAAGTCTGGACTAGTTTGCAGCTTATTATTAACTTAGACAGGAAGAATGAGTCTGAAATAAATTACACCTCAATAATAGACTGCATGGACAAAAAACGTTTGGATGCGTAATATGAAATTCTGCTCATGGATATCCACTTTCCTTGCTATTGTGTACACAAACATTCAAAAGTTTGAGATCAGTACAATTTATTAAAAAAAAAAAAAACTTTTATTCAGCAAGGATGCATTAAATTAATCAAATGGGACAATAAAGACATGTATAATGTTAAAAAAGGTTTCAATTTAAAATACTGTTCTTTTGAACTTTCTATTCATCAAAGAATCCTGAAAGTTTCCAAAAAAACATGAAGCAGCACAATTGTTTTCAACATTGATAATAATATGAAATGTTTATTGAGTATCAAATCAGCATATATTAGAATTATTTCTAAAGGAGCTAGTGTAGCTCAAGCAAATCTCTAAATATCTTTCAAAGGCATGATTATACTAACTACTACATTTAATTAAAAAAAATTTGTTTTCAACAAACAAACAAAATTTTGTTTTCCCAGCAGACTTATAAAAACATATGCACCTTGACTCCCGCAGCAGTCAGACAATCTGATTAAACTTGCAATTTTTCTTCTTTTTGTTCAGTTTTTTTGCACTTATGCCTGTGAGATCGACATAGAGACAGATTTTGTTTTTAGCCACCTTACCTCGTCGTTCTCACTGACACTTATATGTGTGTGTGTGTGTGCATGTGTGTCTGTTTTTTGTGTGTGTGCTCGTCCACATGTGCAAGCGTGTATTTCCTTACCCTTGTCTCTGTCTATGATATTGTAGAGCTGGGGACTTATGGCAAGCTAAAATATTATCACTCAATGACCGAGGAAGGTAAGAATCTTTCTGTCAACCCTAATTTTTTCTCTCTTTCTGCTTCGCCTCTCTACCCATGATGCTATTTGTTCATATGAGTGTGAGAGAGAGTTTTCTTTTCCATTTTTTATTAGCCGTAGCCGAGATTTCACTAACATAAGTGCAAATCATGGTTTCCATTCTTAATTTAGTATAGTTTTGGTTTTTCATTGTTTGTTCTGAAAAAAAGATTTTGTTTGAAAGGGATTTATTTTTGTAATATAAATGCATGACAAAATGTGCAGGTAAACATGATCAGAAAACATTTGAAGTAAAACATTTAGAGTTATATATATTAACCCTGTAAAATCGAAACATTTTTGAACAGTTTATTGAACCATTAGACAAAATCTAAAAACATTTTTTGCAGACTTGTGTTTTTGTTGAGTATCATATTTGATACATCTGGCATTTATGGCTCATATGATAAACTGAGAATAGGGTGCTCAAACTAGAGGAGAAAAAAAAGCTAAATTTTTTCATTGGCCCCAACTGAGCAATGCAATTTGGTGCAGAAATTCTGATAACTTGTAATGTAAATCAATAAGATCTTCATAACAGTATAACAGACTACTTACATAAAACGCATATAAATATCAGTTATCACTGGATTATCTACCAATAATATGTCTATGTGAGATGATATTTAAATGCTTAGTTTTTATGATCAAAGCTCTCTAGTTTCAAACCATATAATGCAAAGCAATACAATGATTGAGAGATGAACAAATAAACGTTCCTCAAAAGCCTGATGGATCCTATTTGATACACACATTTGAACATGATTTAAAAAAAAAAGAAAAATAATTATTGACAATCAAGGTAAACCTAAGTTGCTTGAGTCCAGTAAATGTTCATGTTGAAATATTACTAACAATATACAAAAGTCAGTAAAGATGTCACAACAAAAGGACACGTGAACCACAACGTGAAGGTGGATGTTTTTACAATTAGACTAAAAGGCCTTTTACTTGCTAAAAAAAAACTGTAAAGTAGCAATCAATTGATAATTTAGTGTTTTCAATTTAAAGATATTTGCATATCAATTACAATACAAGGCTTTGTAGGGTTAACGACTACGTGAAATTAAAATTAGAATTTTGTGGCTTTAAGTCCACGTCTTCTAGCTTTGAGGTCAAGTATTAGTTTTGAGCACGCAACTAAATATTTACAGAACTAACCTATAGCAGATATACTCATTTAAAATACATAGTCTCTTTTTTTCAGGAAAACAGATGAAATATATCAATGATTCATCCAGTACTACACATTTCTGGCCAATCAAGTGCTCACCAGAATAAGAAGAACATTGATTAGGAACTGACTAACAAGTCATTTAAAAAAAATAGCTCCTTCCCAAACATCCTGTTTCAATAAATACGTCAATGCATGAAAGAAAACTAGGTTTGTTTAATTTGGGGTCTTTAAAAAATGCAATTATCAGAATAGTTGGTCGAATGTACACAAAGTTTTCCGATAAGAGAGCAGCATTACTCGTCACTGTCTGTGACTGCTCGGCAATCCGTGAGAGTCAGATAACGTGCCTGGCTGCATTCAGACACGCACAGAAATAGATGCTAAGAAACGTACGTCACGGTGTTGAGACGAAGAGGAGTGAGTCATTCTATAACTAGAGTTATGCAATACCAGCAGCGCAGGGATAATGCAATAATAACAGGTCCCCTCTCTCTCTCTCTCTCTCTCTCTCTCTCTCTCTCTCTCTCTCTCTCTCTCTCTCTCTCTCTCTCTCTCTCTCTCTCTCTCTCTCTCTCTCTCTCTCTCTCTCTCTCTCTCTCACGTCTCACTAATGCAATAATGTCAGTTCTTATACATCTGTTATGGCTGAATTGCTTAAGTCTCTTTGAGGATCCATAACATCTAAGGCAACAGAATGACAAATCACAGTGTGTGCGTGCGCGCGCTTGCGTGTGTGTGTGTGTATACACAGAGTTACAAAGTTCTAATTTTAGTTCCCTCCTCTGCACTAAACAGACTTTGATGTAATATTCAGGATGGGAAGGTACATGAGTCAATATTTTCTCTTTGACTCTATTTAGAGTAACTCTAGCATACTCTGCTTGTATTCAGAGTAACAACCATATATTATTAATGCAGATAATATATTTTTAAATGAATAAAAGGCCACTTAAGTGTACTTAAAGAGAGTAGGCTACATTTTCATGACTATGTTTCTTAAAGGGGTCCTATTATGCCCTTTTACGAAGTATTGTTTTTGTTTTTGGGGTGTAATTTGTTTTCATGCTTGATTGTTCAAAAAAACACATTTTTACAGCTCCTTTCTCCCCAGTCTGGTTGAACACGTCGTTTTCAAAGAAGCCCTTCCTTCCGAAATACGAAATGTGCTGTGATTGGTTAACTGACCCAGTGTGTTGTGATTGGCAGCGCTTAGCGTGTGTTCGGGAAAGGTCACGCCCCTTCATAACCGCTAACACTACTCAGATGTAAATATTAACGATGGTGCCAATTTCAAACCATTTCGAGCCCGATTCAGGCCCTGACAATACTAATGAACAAGAGGATGCTGAACGGATTTCAAGCACGGACTTTGCAAGCACAGATTTTACAGGACATTTCTAAATGGTCTGTTTTTTTTGTTTTTTGTTTTCTTATAGATACAATGTTATCCACCATTTAATCATATTTTCCGGAAAACTATCATAATACAAACAATAATCGATCACAAAATCATGGATCATTTTCCTAAGGGGTGGTGAACAGGCTTACAAAAGCAAGAGCTTATAAAAGCTAAAGTAAACACTACATAAATAATGTAATGTTAGCTAGCAAGCTAGCGGAGGCAAAGCGTAAGCCCTGTGTTTACATCATAGCTATAGCAACTACATAAAGCTTATAATTGGAACTGTTAATAGAAAAAACACAACTACAAATAATAAGACCTACTTACAAGTTGTGATCCATAAACAACAAATTGTCCCGACAAAATGGGAATGGCTACGTCTTTCAGGAGAAGCTTTTGTGCGTATAGCCTGCATTGTACTCTGTCTGTCTGCTGTTCTCCGTAAAATGTGGAAAAACAGAAAAATATTGAGGATAGAATGTTCAGGAACAGTGTTAAAAATACATCTAAGTTCCTCAGCCTTTGGACAACCTTTTTCCGGGGTGTAAATAAACAGCGACAACAACTCTTCCTCTTCTCTAAAGCAGCCCAACATGGCCTCACCCCATTTGTTGCGTGTTTCCGGGGGCAGGGTTTATGCAAATTTTAGAGTTGGTGATGTCAACAACCCGGGAAGAACCTTGTTGAAGTCCCTACCAGCCGTTTGTTATAGTCCTTAAAAAGCGATTTCTGTAATAGAAAATATCTCCTTTTGCATTGAACTTTGAGCGTTTTAACTTTGCAGATGTTGTTTATGCTCAAACAGCAACATTACACACTAACTAAAGGTAAAAAAATTCAATCATAATCAAGGACCCCTTTAACACACTTAAGTACGCTTATAAAGTGCACTATGTAAAAATGTCAAATGAAAGGTTTTAATTTAAAGTCATTGTTTTAATGATATTTTGTCATGCTGAAATAAGTATTTTAATGTATTGACTATCATACTAAAGAACATGTAAAGGACCTAACTATAATTTTAACTGCAGTGTGTTATTTGATATTACATTTAAAGTGAAAATTTATTAAATATACTAAATTGCAACTTCATCGTTACAAACATGCTAACTACAAATGTATTTAAATACATGATATACAATTTTCAATAAATGCATGCATTAAAGTTTATTTCAGCAGTACATTTTAACGATATTTCAAAGACAAGAGAAGTAATCATGAAATGTCATATAAAGATTTACTTAAGTCATACTTAAGTGGGTCATAAAACTAATTGCATTTAATAAAAATTTAATTTATAAAACATATGAATTTAATTTCAATTAACATGCAGTTCAATTCCCCAAAACATTACTTTCAGTTTGCACAAGTATTATTCTTTTAAAGTATATTATTTCTGTAATGCATTTTTATGTGTGCTAAAGCGTAATTCTTTTTCACAAGGTAATACTTGCCATGATTTTGAGAAACCCAATTAACCTAGCCTGGGAAAACCCAGACAACTTCTGGCAAATTTAGATTTGCTCTGAAAGTTAGTCTGGCAAAGAGCTCATTCAAGCCCATTTCCAATCCGTCGAAATCGCGGCACCAATCAGAAACGTTGGGGCGGGCTTTACACGATGACGACAGCGCTGGGATTTTAAAGCAGATTTTGTAGCCTACATTACAAAGATGGATGCCGCCGTCGAACATCACTCGTTCGAATCAGCTATCGCGTCTGTTTTAAGCGATTTGAACGTTTCCTTTTTGTTAAAAACCGAGCAAAGAACAACACTCGGAGATGTTTCTCCGCCGCTCTGCATACGTCCTCTCCTTCATCGCTCTGATTGGTTTTAGGTCTATCCGCGACGTCCGTTGGTGACGCCCCTCTGGAAATGATTTGTCTATGACGCTTTGCCAGACCATAACTCAGTTACAACTGAGAATGGTCTGGTTTTAACCAGGCTACAATTAACCTTCATTGTTTAGAGAAACTGGAGACGATGCTGACTAAAGAACACTAACAATACTTTAGAAAACCTTGCCCACCGCCTACATTACAAACTAGTCCTACTACACCACAAACAAACACTTAAACATAGTTCTAACAAACTTCAGCATAGACACTAAAATTCCAAAACCATGATATGTAGTTCACGTAACATACATGTGCATGTTGATTGGGGTCACAACACTGCCTTTTGATCGAGCCAGACAGCATAGTCTCTCTATCAGCCAATCAGAGCCAATGAATCCTCAGGAAGGTCAAAGACATTTAGTGATCAGGATGTTTTCCATTAGTAAACCAACCCTCCACACATTATGTCCACACATATGCTTCAACACAAGCTTAATCACATGCAGTTTCATTCATGCAAAGAATTAGACAGGAAAACACTGCTACTGTCTGTGTAGGATCGCCTGAGTTTTTACTTCCACATTGATGGATCCTGAAAAGGCTGTGCAACTGTATTGACGTTTTCTTCATGATTCTGGTACTGCTCTATCCACACTGTGTTATAGATTTTGCCTACAGTATAAGCAGATGTGTTTATTGTTCTTTTGGTTTGAAGGTTACATTAAAGTTCAAATGGTATTTTGACCTTTTTTCAAGCTACAAGTTACAAGATGCTGTGTTAGTAAATAATAGTCTGTTAAAGGGAGTTACTGTGCATGACATGTACTGGAGTCACTATATTCCCCATATACTGTCACAACATAAAAATAAGCAAAGATCGCAAATTAATAAATATTAAGAACACATTTCTTTATTAAAACATTATATTCTTTTACTAAATAATTTGGCAATATGCAACTAAACCATTTGGTCTCTGTGGGTGCTGCACAGTGATATCCTTTGTGAAAAAGAAGTACACATTGGCACACCTAAAAAGTGCGAACTGAATGTAATGTTCAAACACTTGAAATGAATTGTATTGATAAAATGTATTATAGTTTAAATTTATAATAAATTCAAATAGCTGAACTTAAGAGTGCTTTTTTGACCCACCTAAGTAGGATTTAAGTGCATCTTTATATGTATTTTCATAATTATGAAAAATGGTTAAAGTGTACTACAGAATATAATGCAATGTAATATAATATAATATATATATATAATATAATGTAATTTCTATTAAAACTTGTATGCCATATATTGTATATATTTGAACTTGCACATTTATAATGATTACGTTGCAAATAAGTGTCTTTAAAATATATTAACTTTAAATGTAATATTGAATAACACTTAAGTATGTTAGTCAACACATCAAAATAAGTATACTTTTTAAGCATGACAAAAGATTATAAAAACATAATGAATAACAAAATGTAAAACATTTACTTTTAAATTATTACATTTTAAAAGTATACTTAAGTGTGTTAAGAAACATTAATTTAAGTGCACTTATTTTTCACAAAGGATACACAAACGGTTAACAGATGTGTCCTGTCGAATGTTACTATATCAGGTATTTTAACATGGCTGAATATGGCTAATCAGCATCAAGGACCCTATTTCACCAACTTTATTTTTAGAAATGGCATACAGTTTGTTTCATATCCAGTGAGTGAAATGAAACATGCTCACTTAGCAGGGAAATTATCCTGGGAAAATTTGTTATTCCAAATCACTCTCTTTCTGGACTATTTTTCAGGAAAATTTCGTGAGAAGGCGTCCATCCTTCACAAAATTGCCAAAAAGAAATGCCAAGTGGAGGACTCAAATGGAGTTGCTGGTAAGTGGTACAGTTGGAAAAAATAACATGCATTAATAAATTCAAGACTGATTCAAACTGACTACTACATTAGGTAACAGTGATAAATAATGGCTAAGTTATTCCTGGTAAATTATGTACTGAGCCTAGCTCTATTAAATTTGCCATTGCATATTAAATCCATTGCTGAAGTGAACAAGACCCAGCTTTTTTCAACCAATTTCAAATTAGCTTCTTAAGATAACAACTGCTTGTGGACTTTATAGAAACAAAATAAAGTATCATAATATATTTAAATCCCATAATATAATTTGTGTGTTGAATACACTTTCATTTCAAGTGCAAAATTATGCTAACAGTTCCATATTAGCATATTAGCATCAAAAGCAGGGCAGTTGAGAGCACGCAGCTTCTTTGATGTGACCACAGTCTGTTCAGAACAACTTTAACCCTTTCAAATCGATCTACTGCACTTTCAACATCTTTTTTTTTTGTTTTATTTTTTTTTCATCTGATCAAAAATTATTTTAGACACATACATTGGCTACACAGTGCTAATCTTTTAAGTATCTTAAATAACTATATAAATATAGTATTATGTAAAACTACAGAATGTGAGAGTTTGATCGGTTATGGAAATTACGATATTGGGGAAGTTCAAAATTGTAATATCCAGGCCTGGTAAATTAACCTTCTACATGCAACACGACTTACCAAATCTGACTATACATAAGTCTGACTTATATATATATATATATATATATATATATATATATAAATAGAATGGAGGAATCAAGTTCAAACTTGACAAAATGTTTTAAAGACACAGTGTAGTGTTTGTGGTGTGCAGGTGCTGAAAAAACAGCGGCTAAAGACTAAAGTATCTTAGACCTGCCTTAAAATGATTTTATTTGGGGACTTTTTTGCATGTGTCATTTATTTTATTTATTTGTCCATTTAGTACATTTCCTGTTTGTGTTATAGATAAAAATCTGCCAAACAGCTCCAGCGTCGAGGTGGACGTGACTCCACCCATGAATGGCAGCGCTGGACAGGATGGCGATGCAGTGAGTTGTTGATACTAAAGTAAAACTAACGCACAGTGGTTATTATAGTTAGCTAAAAATAAAACCATACAACAAATTCTGTTAATTAAAATAGAATCAACGCTATGAATGCTAAGAAAACATTTATTATTTTTATTTACTTTTACTTGATGTACTAAAATAACTAAACTAAAATACTAAAATCTATGTAGACATGTTTAACTCTTTTCCTGCCATCGGCAAATCAGTGTTTTCATTTTTATATGGTAGGGGGTGCTGTTCATCAAACATTCCATAGCATATAAATCAAAACTAGCGTCTAGCGTTACTGAGAAAAATGCTGAAAAACAGAAATAGAGTTATATAACTGTAAAGTCTTTGACAATACAATTTTCTCATCTTTTTGTTCAAAATGTTGTTTTATTTATTAAAACTTAACCACATCGTGTTAATAAAAAAATGATAAATGAAGCTAGCAAAACAAATATACTGTAAATAAACATAATATATATATATATATATATATATATATATATATATATATATATATATATATATATATATATATATATATATATTCTTCACTGTTTACAATTTCATACAACAAAAAATTCTGGGGGCCATAAAGGTTTTGTGATTGAAATGATCAAAAATGCTAGTTATGGCTCGCAACTTAAAATAATTGGCTGGCAGGGAAAGTGTTAAAAAACAATAACTAATAAAAATGACAAAAGTACAACAAAATAAAAAACCTGACTAAAATTGTTACGGTGCTGATGGAGAGAACCCAGGCGCAGACGAAATGCAGACACTAAACGTTTATTATGACACTAACAGAAAACAAAAACCCACGAGGGGGCAAAACAGAGACAATACAAACGAGAGATAACTAAACTGGAAAACACTTGACAAGACTAGACAGAGAGTAAATACAAGATCAAGAACAATACAAGACCTTCTTCTTAAGCAAGGTACTCACAAGGTGAATCACTCAATGAGAAACACACAATGAGAAACAATGAACCGGCACAGGACAGCAAACACAAGGGGATTAAATAGGGGAACACTAATGACGAGGACAGGTGAAACTGACTAGACAATAATGACAAGACGAGGGTAACAAGGGGGTGGAGTTACATAACGAGACAACACAAGCACATGGTCCAAACAATTGGCCATGCGCTTATACACAAAACATGGGGTGCTTCTCAATATCCCTCCTCGTCTCCTCGCTCCGCCGTCCTCCATCCTATGACCCGGAAACCAATTGAGCTCAGCCATCTTGAAGGACATCTCAATTCTCTAATTGCACCGCGAGGAGTCGAGGATCGAGGAGTGAGGAGGCTTCCAGAGGAGTCATGAGCGAGGATACACAGGTGTACCCTTTGCGGAAGAGTTTTATCGACTAAACATGACGCACGTATCAATTCTCCTCCCCCTTCACCTCTGTCACAATCATTTGAATTTATACTTTACTTTTGTAGTTTACATAAACCACACAACTCACATATTTCAACAAGGTATCTTGCTTTATTATTATTTATTATGAATTTCTTAAATAAACAAACTTTAACAAAATAAGGGCAGATCCTTTGAGCGCTGCTGATGACGCATGCGAAGTGACGCTCGAGTGATCAAGTATTCCAATGTATAAAAAAGCTTTCATTCAATTCCTCCGTCCTCATTTTTTTTCCTTGCAGCCTTCCCTCGCGTCCTACAGGGGGTGGAGCTGAGACGCGAGGAAAGGAAACGAGGATGCACAAATAAGAAATGAGAAGCACCCATGATTCCGTCATGATCCTGCCTTACGACCAGGGAAAATCAAGGACACTAAGGCAGAATCATGACAAAAATAACATGAAAACGTCAAATATGCTAATAAAAACTAATCCAACATATTAATAAAACTATAATAGTATCTCAATGATGCTAAAATAACACTGACTCGCACACGCTACTGTACGCACAGTGATTTCAACACAAAAATAGGACAGAAAGTGAATCATAGCGCTGACTTTGGAAACAGAAGTGAAGGCCAAGTCACGGCAGGACTGAAAAAAAACTCACGCTTATTATGACTCAATGGAAAACACATTTGGCCGTCTCCCTCCCGCTGTACTGTCTCCTCATCTCACACACACACACATACACACTGTCCTGTGTTCAGAAGATGAAGCGTTCTCATCCTCTGCCCCCTGTTGGCACGGCAACATGCCAGCAGAACAGACGGCACAGCATGCATGCAGGCTGAGAGAGACCCTCTCAATGTCACCGTGACTACCCGGTCACAAGAGAACCATCCTTCATAGACTGTGTACACACACACTATAGATCGGTGTGAGGCTGGCATCTGTCAACAAATATAACATGGGTTTTTCTTGAGGCATTGCCATAAGCAAGTCAAGTCAAACTTTTATATAGCGCTTTTTTCAATGCTATGGAAGCTTGTTTCTGCCAAGGAATAAAAGTGTAAAAAGGTAATTGCGAGTTTACAGTTTTTATCTCACAATTCTGAAAAAAAAAGTCTGGTATTATGGTGTAAATTGATGTTATCTCCATTAAAATATTAGTTCACAAATTTCCAGTTAAGAAAAGCTGCGGAAATTAGATCTGACATAGAAAGTATTTAAAAGAGTACAACATACTGTACAAACAATAATTTCGTCCTCACTGTCTCGTTTTTGTTTGTGTTGCTTTGAATATGCTGTCTTTTCTGAAGGTCTAGACATATTTTTGTTGTACTGTAGAGGAGAAAGGACATGAGAAGCCGTCGAGTCCTGCGAACCCTCATCTCCCTGCTCATGTGGAGAATCAAACGCTACATTATTGATGAAGAGAAGGATTCATTCTTTTAGCATTGTTTAATGTCTGGACAAATTGTCCTGGACATTACTAAAAAAAGAGAACGAGGGAAAGGAGATAAGAGAGAATGAGAGAAGAGCCGTCGAGTCCTGTAAACCTTGCTACATTATTGATTAAGAGGAGGATTCTTTCATTTAGCATTTTTGTAGGTGTAAGGCTGGAAGCTTACGCTGCTATTTTGAACCAATAATCAGAACAAAAGGCAGTTGAAGGATGTCCTGCATAATTCAGATATTTATCTGACTCCAATATAATTAATCTAACTCCATTAAAGTTGTTGTTATTCTTTAACCTCTTATTCTTTAAAGGTAAAGGTATTTCTGAGTACTGATAAGAAAATGTGGGATTTAACCTGAACGTTTAGATAACGAAAGTTATAATCACTTTAGCTTTCAACATCATCAGTGATAAAAGGAAAGATTCTCAAAGCCTTTAAAGCAGACAAAGTTATTTATTAAGTTACATGTTTAAAAATACAGACATGGATAGAATGGAACAACATACTGTATAGAAATGTTCCACTGTTGTGCAGAAGAGGCCGTAAAAGCCTTTCTAATAGTATGAGGTTACGCACTGGTGTGCGGGAGTGGCAGGGTTAAAGCCTTTCTCCAAGATCAAGTGTTACGTTTCCTTCTTATACCCTGAGCAAAGCATTGTTAAACATGAGTGGAATACCAACACCGAAACCGACCGACAGGAAACCAAAAGATGAGGCAAATGGATGGTGATCAAGAGGGGGAGAAGAACATTATATATATTCTCCTCAATGCATGTGATAGCAATAGTACCTAGAATGTACATTAGGAAACTTTAATATATCTATTACGTTCAACACCGTTCAGTTCAGTTTATAAGCTGTCAGATGAGACCAAACATGGCATAGTTACATATTGTCAGGGATCAGCCAGGCTCCATCACCTCCCAATCACAAAGATCGCTGTCACCTGAGTATTAATCACCCGCACCTGCTCTTCATCTGCTCATCATCACAGACACATTTAAGCACACACCTGACTCTGGCACTTTGTCTGGTCTTGTTCATGAATAAGGACTCACCTTCCCATCTGCACATATCTCCTATGAAGTGTATGCACCGTCTATTCGTCTGCCATCCTGTTTCTCCAAGTCTCCATCATCTTCCTGGTCTCCTTCGTCTTCCCCCTTGTCCAGCCACTACTCACCTCTCTTTCAGCGTCGGTGTGTGCTCCCGCCATTTACCTCCTTGTCATCCGCGGCCTCCTCAACCATCTGCAACGGAAAGAACTGTCAGTATCTCCATTTACCATTTCTTAAAGACATTCTCATTTACCTGCACTCGCTGGTGCTCACAACCTCCTGATATTAATAAATCTGTTTCTCACCTTTACCAATCTTGTTGTGAGTCTCTGTTCCGTAAGAGAAGACCAGACCAACACAGTTTGAGAATAAGTTCCCCAGATACGTTCCAGGAGGTTGGATGCACTCAAGCGAGCACTTTCAGGATCCACTTCCGCATCACCCGTCACCACCACCCCTTCACCGCCAGTGGCCTCTAGTCCCATGGCCAATCCAGGCCCTAATCTGGTTTGGTGGAGGATTGCGACATGTTTCTTGTTCAGTGTTCGCTGGCCCTGGAGATGCAGTCATGTCGCTTCGCTTCTCCACCATCAAAGAACTCCAACATTTCCTCGGATTCACAAACTTCTAACGCCGGTTTATTCACAATTACAGATCCATAACCTCTCCATTAACCAACCTCCTTAAAAACAAGCCCAAGTCTCTGTCCTGGACATCAGCTGCCACTCAGGTTTTTCAAAGGCTCAAAGAATCCTTCACCAGTGCACCGCTCCTGATCCACCCAGACACCAACAAGCCGTTCATTGTCGAGGTCGACACATCCACCACCGGGATAGGAGCGGTGTTGTCTCAGCAGCAGGAGAATCCAGCACATCTACATCCATGCGCCTTCTCAAAGCAGATGCTCTATCATGTCTACATACTTCTGAAGAGAGATCCGAAGACCCTGAGCCCATCTTGCCTCAAAAGATTATCATGTGCTCCAGATCATCACAACTCTCCTCCTCCAATGTCTCCGAACCATCTACGCTGGGGTGTCCACCAGGCCGTGCCTATGTCCCCAGGGCTCAACGCACAAATCTCATGCACCTGTCACATTCATC